AGTTCTAGCTGGGCTTTTGCCTTTCTAATTGATACAGAGAAGATTTTAATTCCCTGAGGCTGAAATCTTAGGTACACTTTTATCCCATGAGTTCTTGAGGAACAGCGACGGGTGACACACGTAACTGAGCGCAGAGTGCTAGCCCCAAGGAGCTTACACAGGACAGCTGATGTAGACATCTAGACATCCTAAGGGGGGTTTCCTAGCTAAATTTTGTGAAGCTTCTATTAGCTCTTCATGCCAAGTACTTATAGAAACCTAAATACATGCATGCACCCTCGATTTTGACAGTCCTGTCCTGACTGTTCACATGCCGACACTTGTGTGCCTCTTTACGTACTATAATGCCTTTTTTTCCCTAGCAGTACAAGGTAAGGTGTTCTTTTCAGAGCAAGCACAGGGTGGCCCAGAACTTGTAAACATGTTCCTCTCTCAACAGTGTCAACAGCATCCTCCTAATTAGGAATAGGTTTGTCATTTTCAAGAATTCTTACGTCCAAAGGGTGTATGTTCTTAAGCCAAGTGATATGTTAAGATAAAAGGATGCTAAGAGCAGAGAAGGGATGAATAGAGAAAATGACCATGTCACTTTTACACTGTGACTTCTGCTAGGTACAGCTCATGCCTATTTGAACACTTAAGCATTAGATAACATATTGTGGAGAAAAACAAATGACTGTCTACTTCATAGATTTCTGTTCTCTGCTTCAGATTTCAGCCACTGTTCCCCTGCATTGAATAAGCACCCGTACAGAGCGTACTCAACGTACATGTACACAGAGTACTTTAAAATGGCAATGTTATCCATGACCAGAATTATATAGACCAGTCCAGACAGCCAGGGTTTCTGGAAAGGACAGGTTATAGGACAAAAATAATATATTTTTTACATTCAAATGCAATTGTTTTTACCCTTTGCTGTTTAGAATATGTTGTACCAAGAGCCTGGCAGTACCACCTTAAAGGGAGAGAAAATGTTTTCAGCTTGAGATATTTAATAGAGATGGTTATTTACAGGAAAAACTAAATATTGAATGATATTTGACACCTGTGGACTAGAAGTGAAATTCCATACTGCCCCATTAACAGGCTTGCCAAAACTCAGCCAAACATCATCTTACCTAATTTTTCCAAATCAATCTGCCTTAAGCGGAAGATACACTAGGGAAACCTGCTGCCAACCCAAAAGCCACAGGGGCAGTCACCAGCTAAAACCAGACTTGGAATAGAAAGCGCAAAGCACGTGCCTTGTCCCACAATGCCAGTAACATGCAGAAGGCACCGATGTTCAAAAAAGCGCGTGAGCTAGGCTGAGGAGCATTTTTCATGTTATTGCATCCGTCATGCCGTGTCTGAGACAGCATCCGAGACACCTGGCTCAAGGTGTTAATAAAGATATTCTCTCTCCATTCGCATGCACAGGGCAAGAAAACCACAGCTGCAGGGTCTCCTCTGCCTGTTTTGAACTTGCACATAGGCAAGTCCACCAGCATTTGCAAAGCCTTTTTTTTTTGTATGTGTGCCCATACGGGACGATTCCACACCATCACTTAATGTTGTTCCCTGACGCCTTTGCTCTGGAAGCCACAGGAGCTTTAAGGCTTGTTGTGCTCCTGGAGGGGCCCGTGCCTCCATAACCCCCCATCACTGCCTGAATTGCCTGCTAGCAGCTGGAGAGAAGCGTTTTGCGTGGCGGGAGCGATTAGAAACCTCGCTGCTTCCCTGCTGGAGGATACAGCTCCCGCAGAAGGTCCCGCTGAACAGCACGCTCCTAATCTGCCTCAGCACAGGCAGACAGCAACTGATAGAAGCATTTGGTGCTGGCTGAGGTGGTTTTGTACTGAATAGATTAAGAAGGACGGGTGTTGCTGTTTGTGTCAGCCGAGTCGCAGTGACACTAAGGTGGAAGTCAATAATAGCTTAGACAGACAGAGCTAGGCCAGGGCAAGAACATCAGCTTCTGATGAAAGCAGACATAGGAAATAATTTCACATGCTTTAATAATTCTCCGTACTTCACTGAATGTTCCAATTACACTGATTTACAAGGGATAGTTGTACCAATACAGTTTTCCATTTAGGCGCAGCTCTTCAGTAATAAAACAGTACACGAGAGCCACATCACTACACACAATCATTAACAACAGTAAGTTTTCTTGTACAGATGAATCCTTAGGACAAACCAGTTTGGTGTTTCCCCTGATCACAGGTAGTCAGTAACAATGCCTACAGGTTAAAGTCATCTAACACTTCCTATGATCCCTCTCCCTACAGCTCATCCATTCTGGCAAGCTCCCACTTCCATGAGAAAGATTCTGTCTCAGACACTTTTTAAAATTTAAAGGCTTGGTAGCTGCAGTTGCAGCCTGGCTGGGCAGCCTGTCATTCTCCCAAGCTCTGGCAGTTCAGTATTTCCGAGTATGGCTGGCTGCCACGGAACCAAGGTGCCTTTTGGAGAGAATTTTAGACCTTCCTTGCAATCCGCATGACAGTAGACATAAACATTTGAAAGAAACACCGGAACATTTCTGTTAAAACATAATGACTTTTTTTTTTTTTTTTTTTTTTAGCTGGATGCTAGTCGCCAGGATGGTTTTATCTTAGGATTAGCATGATTTCCTTGGTCACACATTTGTTTTACATGAGATGAGGTATTTTTCTGTTAGAGTATGTATGTGGTTATTCCTTCATTGGTAAACTTAGCTCAGAAGTGGCATTATCTTTGCAACTATCACTATGCTTGTGTAACTAGTATAAAACCTTGTTAACCTTGCCAGTGGACAGCTCTTTACTGATTACTTCCAGACATCATTTCCAAGCATGAGAAGGCTGTTAATTTTACCAGACCATAAAAAATACTCCAAGAGTCTTGTCAGAGGATCCCACCATTCTTGACACAGAAGCACAACAGGGCTAAATCTAACATCTTTCCTTAGATCACAAGTGACAAAGAGGTCACATACCAAAATACACTGTCCCAGTGGACACTGTTCATCATCTTACCTTGGGATATGTTATCTTCTCTGAAATTCATGCCAGTGCCTAGAAAGAATACTCTGCCTTATTCCAAGTGCCCTCTGAATTTTGTTCACAAAAGGTATGAGAACTTAGTAACACCATATGCAGAGGCAAAATTCTGTTCCCTCTTCACTGATTAGGTTTATTTTAAGGATTACGTTTGTCTGTTTCATCTCTCTGACCTTTCTCAACTAGTAGTGGCAAATGTATTACTTTGTCCTGAAAACCTTGAACATCCTGTCTGATCAGTACTCCTTATTTAGTGTAGTTTCAATTAGGAACAATTCATGGGGGTAGCAACATACACTTTTTGTTCTATGCTGGAGCTTCAATTGTGGTAAAAAAAAAAAGGCAAAAAAAAGCAGGTAACAAATCTCCAGAAGTTTGAAGTTCATGTCCATTTTAAATGTTCACGTCACTATAAAAATGTTTTCTCTACTGCTGGGAAAGCAGCAAAAACATTTTAAAAAATCACATAGCTTTCTTATATTAATTCCACTCTCTGTGAGTTCTTTTGAATTTAAAGAATACATTAAATGAATGTATTTCAAGCATTTAAAACAATCTCCACTATGGCTTAATTACAGCCAGCAGCTTTTAATGTTTAGTATCAGAACAACTGTTCATATTATGGAATAAATACTAGTACTATTTGTTCTGTTTATGATCCTCTCCAAGAAAATATTTCACATCAGATAAGCACTTTATGCTAAGAACACAGTTTACAGTAGCCATTTACTGAAAACAGAGAAGTTTTCTTGTACAGGTATACACATCCTTTGCAGTTCTGTAGTGCAGGTGCCTTCTATCTTTCACAAAGGGAAGGAAAAATACTTCTTGGCTGAATATATGCATGGAAAAAGGTAAGAAAAGCCTATAGGAGCAACAAGGTTAAGACATTTAATGGGAATAGGTCCCCTATAAAACCACTCCTTCCCTTCCAGTTCAATGAAGATACATAACAAAACAAGTTAGTTATAGTCTCTTCTGAACTATGACCTTAGTTTGGTCTGGTTAAAGGGGGTGAAGAAAAAAAATAATTTCAGCTTTTCAGCTGTCTGAACAGAATTTCAAGAAAAAACTAAGCAGAATTTCTAGGGTCCTCAAAGCATTTTTCCTGACTGTGCAGGTAAGAATTCATGGTTCCATTGAATACATCAAGTGTATTGGAAGCTTCTGGGGTGAGAATACTCCAGTGCAAAAGCCACCTCAATGAAATAAAATCCAATGTGCCTAAAAGGGGATATTTTATTTTCATCTCTATTAGTATCTGAGAAGAATAGACTATGCACATCTATGACCAAAATAAACACACTAAAAAATTTCAGACAAATTCTTTAAGTTACCAGTTTTTATTAAAAAATGACACTTGGTGTTAGTTGCATACAATAGCATGTGCTGTCAGTGTTGCATAGCTGCACCCACATCAGGCAACAACTGCAGCACCTGCCTGCACTAACCAGAAGAAGGTTACTTTATACCCACTACAGCTAAGTTACCTCCAGTATCTGATGTGACTGTGTTAGGAACCACAAGTGGATAAGCCAGGGCATGAGTATAGTGCGTTGTAAATAGTAGGTATAGCTTTATCTACTTATTATTAGGAAATAAAACCTTTATTTGGTACATTTCAATAATTAAGCCTTAATATATTTCTTGACTGCACCTAGAGCTAGCAGCAGCAGCAGCAACTGAAGACTACACAGCACTCTGTACTCCTCTTTCATTGCAATACTTCTTCTGCAGGAGAATACTACACTGGATTTTAAACTAGTTGATGACCCTACTTAGTACTGCTTTAGAACAGCTTGAGACCATTAACACTGATTTCTTCCAGGTTCAGTTACAGCTGTTTGTCTGTCAGTGGGCTCTGTTCAGTGCCTGAGCTGTGCTTGCTCTTAAGGGACCTTCCAATGTATCTCCAGTACTCCTTTCGGATGGGGTCTTTTTCTTCAGCCAGAATTTCACACAACTATGAAAGAAAATTGAGAGATTGGAGTGTTATGCTAAAAGCTTACAGAATCCTTAATTATATTTATAAAATGTATACAATAGATGATTCAGCCAGTATTAGAAACAGCCTTCTCAACACCATTTGTTTTATTCACCGCATTTGCAACTGCCCAATGACCCCAACCTGATGCCAAGTCCAATTGCTAGTCAAGTGCAATTTCTAGTCAACCAATCTAACACTGCACAAAAATCTCTCCAGTCCTATTGCAGTTGCAACCGCTTCCCCATGACTCCTTTCTGTGCCTACCACTTGTCACCTACCTCAGCATATTCAGCATGTAGTATACTACACTATACTTGTGACTTCCGGACAAGCTTGATTGTCTTCTAGCAATCCAGTAGGCTGTAAACTACTTAATTTAAAACAGTGGGGGAACACCCTGCTCTTGAATCTTCAGTACTCTTGATGAACTGACGGGACATACTTTGTTTATGGTTTTCCTCTTAGCAGACTGTCCCAAAAGGATTCTCCATGCAAGTCAGTAACCTTCTCTCACAATATGTTAGAGCTGGTGCTATATAGATACTTCTACATGTTCTGATTTTTGTTTTCATCTGGGTGAGCAGTGAGGCACAGAAGAAGTCAACCCTACTCACAAGACATGCTGTGTAAAATTTATATTGTGTGAACACTATCTACAAGTCTTCTAGATGATTCCCTGTTATTATGCAGATGACATTGTCTTACTCAGTGAATCAGAGGTGAGAAATAGGAGTTTTGATGCCTAAATAGAGGAAGAAGTCAAACTCAGTGAAATGGCATAAAGCGACATGAATCTGGGAGGTACAACTGCACTTACGTACACTCTGGTCCTGGAACACAACAAAGGAAAAATGTTGAGAAAGAACTATGTCAGAACACAGAGACTCCAGGCAAGAATTGCAGCTCCAATTACACTGAGTTCCAGTCTGCCTCGCAGTGAATTAAAAGTGTTCTTAAACTACACTGTGAACCACAGCAAAGAGCTCCCTGAATATGAAGCACAGGGAGATAGACAACATTGCTAGAAGTCATTTATTCTCTGTAGGAAATGGTGCCTGACATTCCTTACTGATGTGCCCAGTGCCTGCTGGCCTTTAAGCTAATTCTGCCAGCTTTTTTAGCAAGAGCTAAGAAGTATAAAGGGAGTTTCAGATTCTGTTCAGATACAGATACTCTGAGAACAAGATTCACCAACCTGCAGAGAAGAAACTGAGTTCATGCTACAAAGTTAGGATTGGAGACTCCTTGACTGTTCAAACATCTCCTTATCAGTATCAGAAACCTTCCTGGACTACCAGGTGAAGAAAATTTACAGTGATTTTGTAACTGGCAGGTTATTATTTTTAAATAAATTCATGAGACTCTTGTGATTATGTGGCTTTCATGTTCAACTCATCGTAGAGCTCCTGTTATTAACAAGTAACCTGTTCTATTTAGGAAAATCAGTCTCATTTTGCCATGATATAAAACAAGAGAGCAATAGATGGCATCCTTAAGAAGCAAAACCAAGCTCTTAAAACGTACCTCCAATGCCTTGTTTAGCGTTTCTTCCTTGTTATCACACTGGTTTTCAAGCATATCTTCATACATGTCCACAAGAAAGGCAATCAGATAGGGTGAACTGTGGCTGGGCTGTAAATTCAACAGTTGCTTTAACAGATTTGGATACTTGGAAACACCACGATCCTGTAGAATCCTGGAACAGAGGTTAATAGGCTAGAAACATAATGCTGGGAAATCTGGTGTGAAGAATTACATTTTTATGACTCCTTTATTTGGAGATCGGTTTTGAAATAAGTGTGCAAATACAAGTAAGGCAGAAAGTAAGCAGCATGCAGCAATAATACAGCTTAATGCTGTAGTAAGCTAGTACAGTTATGCTCAACTGAACAGAAATTAGACTGAAAGCATGCTCATTACTTCCTGCTCTATGCTCTTGAATCCAGTAACATTACAGGTCAAGTTTTTAAAAGCATGAGAAGCACTTGCAATCCACCCACAAGAACCACAGGGCCAGAAACCTAGTGGAAAGTTACAGCGAAATTAGGTTAATATATTAACCCCTTGTGGAGGTTTTTGCCCGCCTGATTAAGCACACGACACTAGAATGAACAGCAACAAGCTCTTTCCAGTTAAAGAGCTAGGCACAAAACAACTCCTATAGATATTTTCGTTGCCCCACACAGAAGGATGCCTCACCCTTTTAAATAGTTCCAAGCGCTCTCATTATGTGGCACTGCTGTGATAATCTCAAGAGTGTATCTGTGATAAAAAGATAACAGGTCTTGAATGCAACAAGTAACAATGCAGTTAGAAATTACTGGAATGTGCTCAGATGCTCCCAAATACATCTCTCTAGTCTGTATTTCAGCATGTTTTTGCAGATCATCTCAGCTGGGTCATAGATGAAAAACGTCTTACAATATAATCACCGCAAGTCTCAGAGAGGCAGACATTGTGAGAATGGTTTTAAATTCTGAAGTGTTCCACTTGCTGCAATTTACACAATAATGAAAAATTTCTCAAAATTATGGGCAATAACACTAAGAAATAACATGATATACTCTCCTGGTATGCTAAAGGAATAACTTGTGTCTTGATGCTCAGAAATGGCAAGGGGCTGAAAAGGGCTGGAGTAATTGAAGCCTAGGGTAAGCTATGTTTATAAGATTGCATGTGGTATGTTCTGTACCCATTTGCAGAATATTTTTCATGAGGCTGCACTTGAGCAAACCCATAGAAAGGCAGAGCTTGAGCTTTCGGCTCACGCAGCATTCTGCAGCAGTTCTTTAAAAGTAGGAGCTAGGCAACTCCTCTAAAAGCAAAGCACAACAGGCACCTGCCATACAGTCGCAAAGCCACATTTCGTCTTCACAAAACAGACCCCACCTTCAGCCCTTCCCTGGCATAACCAGGCATTCAGCTGATTTTCAGAGATGGCAGACACCGATACAAAGTACTATAAGCAGTACTGAAAAAACCCCTACAACCCAAACCTAAACCTTTTTTAACCTTTTGCAGTCACTATGACAAAGACCGAGTTTATCAAGCAACAAGCAGCCCAACTACAGTTCTATAATGACACCTGGGAAGTCTTAACCTTAGACGGTCTGATTCTTAAGATGGTATCCAATTACCTTGAACACAGCACCACATATAAACAGATCAAGGGAGGATGTCAGATCTAACCTCCGGACAGAAAAAGTTGGAAATATCCAAGCCTAAGTACTGTCAATGGTTCAGATTTATTAAACTGCAGGAAAGTTATAACTGGAAGAGAAGTACAACTTACAGCAGTATGCAAAGACAACCATTAAAGGTGGCAGGGGCTGGGATCCTCTATGAACAATGTACCAATGGACCTATTCAGAGACTCAGTCTTTCTTCTGAAGAGGAACTCCAAAAAATTGCAGTACGTTCTTTTCATCGCTTCTTCACTTTAGACAAACATCTTCTCATAACCATCAACGCTGATGAGCGTTCTGACATGTGAAAACCATAGAAGGAAGATTCCCTCACCACTATCAGTAGTAAAACAAATGGCTAGAAGCATAGCTTGTCTTCAGTTACAAACATACCACTTTGAAACAGTTTCCAAAGCTCATTTTCCTCAAAACTAGCCAACCCACACAGGTTTGTGCTGACCACATGCCCCTGAAAGCTCCCTTCTTTTTCCAGCTGCATCAAATTCCTCACAAAAGGCAATTCCTCTTCCTACAATCCATGTCCACATTATCTTTAAATCATTGTGGCTACTGTACTACTAAATCAGCAGTTTAGTACAAAACTGAGAGTGCCTCTCCTTTGAAGCTTTCTAGGGGTAGGATGTAAGATACTAACTAACAGCACAACTTCCAGTGTCACAGATTTTCTGCAGTTTGTTCCACTATAGTTAGTTGACTATAAAAAGACCAAAGTTTCATTTGCACAATAAATGGCAGGGCAGGGAGACAGATTCATGAGAATAGCTTGCCCAGGGTAAGCATAGCTTGCTTCAGTACTACTCAACAAGTCAGTGGTACTGAACACATCTATATATGCACTAACGCTTGATCTGCTATCCATGAGAATGAGCCCAAAAACTGCATTAAAAACATGAAAGACAAGCTCACAGGGACTGTCAAAGTATTCTTTTGCTTTCATATATTGTTGAATGCTTAATGCGAGCATGAACAGCATTACTAACTGGACTTCTCTGTCTAGGACTGCTGGGTCATCATAGCCAGTGGTGTTGAAAATTACGAAGTGTCGTTGGTTCCAGACAGAGTTGTTTCTCACATCTTCCCTCAAAAGCTGGTCCACGTATTGCAGTTCATTGTCCCATAATTTGAACTCCTATGGAAAGGGAAGGAAGAGAGACTATTACACTCAAAAGTTTTTATTTTTTAAAATATATTCTCCTTGCTCCTAAGTTCTCTGAACATTATGTACAGAGACTTTTTTAAAGAGGACCACGAAGTTCAACGAAAATTAAGAAAAGGTGCACTAGGAACATGCTTCACTATTCAGTGGCACACAATGGTATTAAGTCATTATTAAATTCACACACATTAACAGTAAGGAACCAAAAATAAACCTTTTTGAACTCGCTTCTTAAGAGACAAGTTTATAGCTAACCTCTACCACACATTAAAATGCAATTGTTTTTGTCCCTTCAGCCTTAAGAAACAAAGTGCCAAATGCAATTCAGATTGCATTTAAGAAGCAAAACTCTACAACCTGAGCCATTAGTTTGTTTAGTCAATCAAGAGTTCTGTGGATACAATACCTGAATAACCCACTGTCTGTGTTGCCATGCATGGTAATTTTTGGCATCTTGGTTAAGAATGTCAGCTACGAATGCAAGCTCGTGGGATGGATCCTGCAGCCATTCCACCAACACCCGTCTGTGATGCCTAATGACAAGAGGAGGAAACTATTTTTAGAATAGTCTAAAAAATGTTTGTGAACATGTGGTCTGTATTAAAATACCATACAGCAACTGTACTAAGAGAAAACACACTAGTTAAATACTTCAAATTAAATATACCAAAACGTTTCACTTGTGTTTGATAAATATACGATGCATATTTATACTATAACAAATCCTAATTGCACATATACATTGGCCAATCACCACCTTACAGACAAGCTATGTTTACTTGAAGTAATACGTTTCCACTTCTAACACTCATGGCCAAGGTCTTCAGCAGAGCACAATTTTCTAGTACCACATGATTTCTCTAGCAGTAACAATGCTGCTGTTTTGCCTGGTCCCATTTGCCTGGGAAAAAACCAAGAACAGGCAGCAAACTCCAAGAGCCAATAAAGGAAAAAATTACTAATTTCTATTTGTCTTTTTTTCTGCCTTTTCATAAGTCATTTTCTTTGACCAGTCAGACTGATTTTGACAGTTTAACAACTTATTATTTCTTACTTAAAAGAAAATAAGACCTTTTTAGCATGTCATAATCATATGTTTCGAACAAACTGCTAAAGAGGACTTTGGCAGTGATACCGATGCAACTCCATCTAACTCCACCACTGCTGCAACTGCAGTAGATTCTGGAAGCAACTCTTAACAACTTTTAGCATCAGTGATCGCAACTTCTTCTAGACAACTTACAAAACAAAAATTATCTGCAAAAACGTTAAGAACTTGTCCTTGTTTCAGCCAGGAAAGAATAAATTTTCTTCACAGAAGCTAGTGTGAGGCTATGTTTTGGATTTGGAATGAGAAAATGTTGATAACATGCTGATGTTTTGAGTTGTTGCTAAGCAGTCAAGGACAGTCCAGCTTCTCGTGCTGGCCTGCTAGCAAGAAGGCTGGGGGTGCACAGGAAGCTGGGAGGGGGCACAGCCAGGACAGCTGACTCGGGCTGGCCAAAGAGATACTCCATACCATACGACATCATGCTTAGTATATAAAGCTGGGATGAAGAAGAAGGAAGGGGTGGAGGGACATTCGGAGTGATGGCGTTTGTCGTCCCAAGAAACCATTACGTGTGATGGAGCCCTGCTTCCCTGGAGATGGCTGAACAACCACCTGCCCATGGGGAGTGGTGAATGAATTCCTTGTTTTGATTTGCTTGTGTGCGCAGCTTTTGCTTTACCTGTTAAACTGTCTTTATCTCAAAACATGAGTTTCCTCGCTTTTACTCTCCTGATTCTCTCCCCCATCCCACAGTGGGGGAGTGAGCGAGGGGCTGCGTGGTGCTTAGCTGCTGGCTGAGGCTAAACCCCAACAGTCCTTTCTGGCACCCAACGACGGCCACAAAGGGTTTGAGATGACAGATTTGATTGGAATGTGCTAGATTGAGTTTATAGCTGTTATTGCCAGGCTGCTATGCTTAACATGGGTTTGCTTTCCGTGCGTGTATTAGAGTCCAGTGCTCGTTAGTGGCTGCTTTTTGCTTTCGCTGCTGCCGCCGTACTGCCGTACTGCTTATCGTCTGACTCTGCTGGGCCTGGGAACATTTTGATAACAGCAATGGCGATGCGCCTGGGCTGGCAGATGGCCTGGGCATTGCTGCTTTTTCTGTGCTGCTGTACTGGACAGGCTGGAACTCCACTGTGGACTTGAGTTGAAGGGATGTGACCTGTGGGTGAGTCCACATGGGAGCAGGACACCCTGAAGCATTTGTGGCTGGGCGTAAGCCCATGCCAGAGCAGGTATATCTCAAAGCATCTGTGGCCATGGTTATGCCTGTGCTGCAGCAGGTTTACCTCTGATGAGATTGGGGCACAACGATAAGTCTACGCTGGGGAAGGTACATCTTGAAGTGTCTGTGGCTCTGGATAAATCCATGCTGCAGCAGGTACACCCTGAAGCAT